ATAATCTTTGCTCTTTCATTAACTTTGTAACGAACTGCCACAGTGAAGTAATATTCCACTTAGACACCATTGAGAGCTCCTCTTCCATGTCTTATGTTACTTGTGTTGAATCAAAAAGGCCAGCACTTGTAACAATATATTTAGCACCTACGTACCAGAGTAAAATGCAACATCTCTCTTAATTTCTCACTTTTGCAAGCAAAAAAAAAAATACAAGTGTTTACCACGCTAGTATAGTCAAGGAAAGAAACACCAGTGTAGTATAACACTACTTCTGTTCAACACAAATTTTCTCGTTAAAAAAACAATTACTTCAAAGATCTTATTAAGGTAGGTGTTCATTTTACATTAGTTCTCTTTTCTAAAAGCTGTTATTTTTGATCTATTTTTTCGTTAATTTGTAATTTTTAACGAACATCTTTTAAAGAAACTTCTGACGAAAAAAAACGTGTTCTTGAGCTACACGAACGTGTCAACAATCTCCCAGATCCTAATTATAGCACTCTAAAATATCTAATGGGACATTTACATAAGTATATACTTGTCAGTTTTCCTAATAATCAATATTTACCATTTTAAGACAATTTTTAACAGCAAATTGTCATGCAGAGTTGTTCAAAATCAAGAGAAAAATAAAATGAATGTTCAAAATCTTGGAATCGTATTTGGACCAACATTAATGGGCAGTCCTGTTGTTACCGCAGTTTCAAATTCAGCATCGTCATCATTATCTGGTGCATCATTACAAAATTCAAGTACGGCACCCATACCTTATGTTACTTCTGATAGCGGAGGACTTAACGATATGGCTTGGCAGTGTAAAGTTGTAGAGACTATATTGGAAAATTATCTTAATATATTTGTGTACGTAGTTATCGAAAAGTTATGTTATAATATAGGAATAATTCAATGTTTATTGATTATAAAATTTTCTAATATAGCGAGTAGAGTTTTGAGAATAACTCAAGACTCTCCGAAGACAATGTAGGGTCGATTGGTGGATATATGGATCTAGGAATGATTATAAGTAGTTATGATTTTATAACCTGGTTTTTTCCATTTCAGGCAAAATTTAGTTATTATATTACTCTTAAATTTTGATATATTTTTGTATTTATTTTCCAATTTTGGAATTAAATGTATGTTATAATTTTTTTTTCTAGGTTGAACACAATAATTAATAATTTGGATTTAAGATTCAAATTTCGTTTTTTAAATTAAACTTGTCTTTTTAAGGTTGCATATCATGTCCCAATTATTACAAAGCATTTTCGATTCCTTATTGTAAGATAAGCTGGTTAACAATCATCCAATACATAAATGCGTTAGAGTTTTCAATCGTATGATGGGATGATAAATCCAAAGGCATGTCCACAAGACGAAGATGAAAATATATGGCACCCAATACAACAAGAATATTGGATTTAAAGTTGTATTATTTGTATAGAAACCATTGAATCAAGGTAACCCTGATTGAATCATTCATGATATCTTCGAGGAGTTGAACCAAATGCCAGAAATAAAATTTCACGGCTTTAATGCAGGATTCTACAGCAAAATTTTTTGTGAGTTATTATTATGTGTATCAATAGTACCATTTTTTTGTGATTACTGTATTACCAATTAATTTCAAATCCATTTTGCATCATAAAAGCTATGAAGAATACTAAATATTCTGATGAGTATTTTAAACATAATTCTGAAATTCTTACTGAAAATACAAGTTTAAATATACGCATACCTACACTCATTTATACACATTTCATTACTTTGCCTTTATAGATTCATTTAAACAACTCATACATACTAATCTCAAACACACTTGACATTTATAGTGCCTAAAGTGGTCTTTACATATTACTATATTTAAATTGGGTTCATGTGACAAAATTTTCAATGTGATACAACGTTTTTTTTTATATTATAAAGTTTATGACCTTTGACAATTACAAATTTTTTCGATTATTTATAAAATTATTACTTTGCAAGGTTTCAAACCCAGCTAATCTCTGCGTATTATGTCACATCTGTAAAAAATTATACGTACTGTACACAATGCTTGCATATAGGGAACCTGCACAGAGGTCACAGGCACCCATCTTGGTAGCATGCCTATAGTTATGCCTAAATAGTTGATGTCATTTATTTTGTCATGGCATGAATTTTAAAAATGCCATATTGGGTGGTTACAGTTATGACCGAACATAACCGTAACCGATACCGGTCGTCAAAGATTTTTTGACCGACCGGTTAAAGTTCTGACCGATACGATTTAGCGATGCAGTTTGTGTTATAAGGCATTTATAGTAGCAATTACAGCAAGAATTGTGTGAATCATAAAAATTTTAGCTAACTTAAGGTATTCTCAAGCAACTCCCTCAATGTGATCGAGATCGTGCACAAGTATTATAAATAATTCTAATAGCAATTTTGTAGAAGACTCATGGTGTCAGAATGCGGATATTAAGGGCAGCACCTTCAATGTGATTTGAAAGTGATCTGAAACGTTGCTCATTAATTGAAGTGATCATTAGTAACGATATGCTGAAAATTCATTGTGAGAATTGCGGATTTTAAATTTTAGCCAATCAGAGCAAACTCTATGAAAAATTGGTGGTCGCAACTCCGGGTTTTATTCATGAAATAATAACTCTCTTGATAAGTTAAAATTTTACTTCAATTCATCATGAACTCACTTGATCGGCTAAATTATTTTCCGCCAATTAAAAACTGATTTGATTTAATCTTTAAGGGTAGGGGGTATGTCGATTATTTTTCATATGATTTTGATGTCGTAATAAAATTTTATATAGATAGTAAAAATACGCCCCTGATAAAAATTGTTTAGCCACAGTCAATTTTTATAAAAATTTTGTGGCTTGTAAATTAAAACCTTCTCTTTATGGTAATAATATTTTCAGAGGTCATATTATTTTAAAAAATATACTTATATATATCATTAAGTTTCTGGAGTTGATCCAAAATTTCTAGAGTTATACAAGAAAGAAAGTTATTCTAGAAAAGGTAATTAATCAATCAAAATTATCTGAAATTTTATTCATAGTTGATATACAATTACTGATTTAAACTTGGCCAAATTCTAATTCTGATAGTATTTAAATAGTTCACAAGATAGTTGCAAAACAATTTTAAGTTTTTTTTATTTTTTTATTATTTTATAAATAATTTACAAGAAAACTTCAAGTTAATTATAGAACAATTATAAATAATTACAAATTTTTTTTCTAATCTTTATACTAAATATTTCAAAAGTTTCAAAATATAGCTTATAATTATTTATACAAATATATATTTGCATAAATAATATCATGATCTCTAAATAAGATCATTTAAAAAAAAAAGTTACAGTTTGAAACTTTTGAAATATTTAGTATTTTTTAATTTGTAATATAGACAAATTTGCTTATATTAATTTTTAATTTTTGTAATTTTTAAATAAAATTTTAAGAAATAATATAATTGTAGCCTATGGCTACATGTAGCCATAGTACTAAATAATAGTTGGTTATACAAAATGTAAGT